AAATTGGTTCATGAGATAGCGATCAACAGTAGGGGGGTAACTATACTATTTTTCCTTCGCTTAGGTTTTATCTTACTGGGTTAATGAGGTGACATTTATTTTTAATACTCGAAAATAATTGCACTCTTTTTCCTTCATTTAATTTTTTTTGTTCCATTGGACTTTTATCAAACAAGAATTTCACAATGCAGATATTTTATAATGTATCATTCGAAAGAGAGTGTTTTAAATTGTAAGTTTATTAGTGAATAATAATTGTACCACTACAACCCTAAAAATTATTATTATTATATCTCTGATTCTTTCCTATAAATATAAGGCTTTAAGGGGGGGGGGGGGAGGGGTGCAAAAAATTTTAAAAATTTAATGTACGAATAAAATTTATATACAATAAGAAAAATTCATAATTTTGTTGGACAATTGACAACCGAAGGAAAATTAATAAATTACTTACCCAAAATCCCTAACCCAAGTCGATAGAGTCGCAGACGGTGAGACGACAGTCGATGGTGAAAAGATTTAAGGACTTTATTTTTGGGAATTATTTCAATTGTAAATAGGGGATTATATGTGAAGTCTTGAATAAGAATAGGAAGAGATTGGACAATGAGTATTATCTATTGATACAAATAAGTGGGCTAAAGATTAAAATAAAAAAGGGAAAATTTCATAACTAAGAAATTAATTATGGCACATTTCAAAAATAAGAAAATAAGTTTCAAATTTTTAAAATCAGATTTTTATTAAAAATTATTTATAATTTAATTAGTTAATTAATTATTTTATTAATTAAATATATTTAGGTCACAGATCTATACAATTTGGTCACAAATTAACAATATAATTAGTTACTTATTATTTTTTGGTCACAAATCAAAAATTTTATGTCACAAATTTTTTTATGATCACATTTCAAAAATTTTTGTAAGTCACAGTTTGTTTATTGATCACAAATCCAAAATAATTAGTCACGGATTAATTTTTAGTTACGACTTATCATATTATTGGTCACAACTTATTTTTCGATCACGAATTAAAAATTTTATAGGTCACACATTATTTTTCGATTACGAATCAAAAATTTTATAGGTCACATATTATTTTTCGATCACGAATCAAAAATTTTATAGGTCACAAATTAATTTTTCGGTCACAACTCAATAAATTATAAGTCACAAATACAAATTTTATAGGTCACATATTATTTTTCGATCACGAATCAAAAATTTTATAGGTCACAGATTAATTTTTTTGGTCACAACTCAATAAATTATAAGTCACAAACACAAATTTTATAGGTCATACATTATTTTTCGATCACGAATCAAAAATTTTATAGGTCATAAAATCAAAATTGTTATTGGTCACATCTAATTTGTCGGAGACAAATCAAAAATTTTTTAGGTCACAATTCATTGATTAGTCACAAATCGAAAATTTTATAGGTCACAGAATATTTTCAATCACGAATCCAAAATTTTTTTAGGTCACAGATTATTTTCAGTGCAAAATTATTGGATTTATTGGTCACAATTAATTTTTCGATCACAACTTTATCAATTGTGAGTTACAATTGAGAGTCATGGTCACAATTTTCAGGTCACATATCCAATTATTAGTCACAATCAACCAAAACCCTCACGACCAACTGTGACTTCATTATCCAATTATTTTGACACAATCAACCAAATCGGTATAACCACCGCAATGACCATCGCCAATCCACCACAGTCACCACAACCCGTTGCCATCGCACACACGCTACCGCAGCCTCACGCCACCGTCGTCGCTGCCAATCTACAACCAAAACCACCACCATCCAAAATGGTTACAAACCCCACCACTCGCAGTCACCACACCACTACCACGACCACCACTGCCATATCACCACCTCACCGCTAGCCTTACAATCTGTAACAAAATCGAAAACCTTTTGTCACCTCCACCATAACCTCTCATTATAGTCGCTGCTGCAGATCGCGGCTAGATCTCGTCGTTCACCGCCAGATCGCTGCAGCTATAGGTCGCCACCAGATCTCGTCATTCACAGCCAGATCGCTGCCAAATCCGACTCCAAAAACCCTCACTACTGGTTCGTCGATGTGCAACGAAACAGCTCCTCCATTGGTGGATCGCAAATACACTTATTTCACCACCACAAACTCGTTGTGATGATGGGGTGGGCGACGACGACGGTAAGGTAAGGAGTTACCGTCGGTCATCAGAGGTGATGGCTGGGTACAGAGAGAGAGGGAGTGAGGCGATTGTTGTTGGGGAAATATGGATTGGGAATTTATTAGGCTTTGAGTATATATATTTATTTTATTAAAATTTTAAATTAAAATAGAAAATCTGGTTTTTGAAAGAAGAAACTACCGGCCTGATTTTGGAATTCGTGATTTTAATCCTAGGGTTTTGTGTAATTACCACAATAAAAAAACATTTGAGGTGGGCTAGTCTATTAAAATTAATTGTTGCTGGGCCAATGTGGGCTAATAGATTACAATTCAGGCAATTTTTTATTTTTTTTAAGTCATTAGGACCTGTGGGCTGCAGCCAACCATTAAATCCGCCCATACCCCTGTCGATGTCATGGTGCACATGCACAGGACTTGGGCACATTTGGTAAGGTGGTGGGTTGATATTTCTTCAACCCACTAAAGTGAAGTTGGCCTATCGTTGAGTAGTGAAGTTGGGGGAAATAAAAAAAAGAAGAAGAATGAAGAAAGAAAAGAGAAGAAAAACGCTTGTTTGATCTGTTTTGCCTATGTAAATCTTATCAGATTTGTTTGATTTTGTGTAAGTCTTGAGAAATGTAGACGAGTTGAGGATTGAAACCACAATTCTTGTAATTTCGTCTTGTAATCAACAAAGTTACATGTTTCTAAGTTGTTCATTTCTTTTTCCTTCTCTTCTATAACTATTTAGTAGTAAATTAAAATACAAGAAAAGACCACATATTTCTCCACTTGTCACGCGTCAATGTTTTTGTTGAATATTTAGGATAAGATCAGATCTTAAAATTTAGAAGTCTTAAAAGACACATGTTTAAGTGCTTCTTTCCTTAAAAGCATACTTTATAGGCACTGAACATGGCATTAATTTGGCATATTGTCGTAGATGTGCACAAGCAATAAACTGGAGGGACACAAAAGCGTACTCTTGACTCAAGATCATGGGTTAAGATTACTTTTTCTTGTTACTTGACCAAGACAATCAACCCATTTAAACTATGATCGGCACATTGTATTAGACATAAGACGGTCATTGTATTAGACATAAGACGGTCGAACGTGAACAGAGACTAACATTTTGTCCATAATTGTGGTAATTAGGTCCGGCTAGGGATGGCAAGGAACCGAGTTGAGCCGAGCAAAAGCTAGACCAAAGAGTCAAGGCTCGGGCCTTACCGAGTCG